CACAAAAAGTAGATTTCTTGTATGTGTCAGTAGAAATTACCTATTTTTGTCCATATGGTTGTGGCATCAGTTAAAATATTTGCAAGTTTTCCTGTCCTCTGGGACCTCAAAGTTTTAAACATCCAATAAGAATTCTTATGTATGAGAATAACTTGTAGAAAATGGCATCAAAAAGATTGACAGAGTATGTAGGGGTTTTTTTCTTAGTATCAGTGTAATTTGATAATAACGTCCTAAAAAAAATATGTTCTTTTAACTTAATATGTAGGACACTTAACTTGGAGTTTATTTTTCAGTTTTTCACTGAACCAAAAACACCCATTCTGATTTTTAGTAATTTAAATACTGTAACGCATTTTATTTGTAACTAGGTACTTTAAAAGAAGGCCTGAATAAATCCTTCAAAGGAAGGATGTTTACTGTTGGCGAAATGTTGAACATATGACCATAATAATTCTCGTATTTGTCTTTAACTGGAAACCTGATTCACTTCAGCATTTATGTTGGAATTCTAGCCTTTCAAATTGACAGTATGTTCAAGAAATATGAAGCTTCATATTCCTTCTCTCTATAATAAGTTATTAATCAGTACATTGTTAGATGAAAAGTGAATAGCTAAAGAAGCTTTCAAAACTGTTTTCCTGTTTGATTTCAAAATGTTACCATAAGTTCTTTCAAATTTGCAAGGAGTTGTTTATTTATCTAAATTGGACGTTTTCATCCCCAGAAATTCTAAGTCCCTTATAACATGACTTATAATGGAAATGTTGACAGAATTTTAATGCCTTGGCTAAGATGTTTTTATGAGAGGTTTTTTTCCTGAAACCTTAGAAAGTGATTATTTTTAGTAAAATATTTCCATATGTATACCTTAACAATATTCATTCTAGAAAAAATACACTTTCTGTATGGAATTATGCATGGTCACTGATTGAATACTGGCCTGCAATTCAAGTTATGCCTTCTGTTAGTGTCAAAAACCACAAGGACACCCAGAGCAGAGCTGGTGTGGTTCAGGAATGGAAGTGCTGCAATCCACAGCTTGAGTTACAGCCTTGGTATTCCATGTTATCACGTGAACATTTAGGCAGTAACATCTGTTTGACACTTCAAACAGAAACTGTGACTTAGAAGAAAGAGGGAGAAATAAAGCGTTCAGAAGATCTTCAGGGAGACCCAGGCAATATGGTGTGACATGTAAACAATTATTATTGCATAAAACATTTAATTGATATGCCCAGCTTTGACGTGTATATCCCTTCACATAGGTTCTTTTTTTGTCTGATTTTTTGTTTTGTTTAGAATATTAGTTGAGTTACATTTAATTCTGAATTCCATTCTGGATAAATCAAATACGGGACACAATGAAGTCTTCCAAATAATCTTTGCTTACATTTTCTTTTATTGTTCAGAAGCTGGATCCCACAGAGAGTAACCATCCTTTTAATCATACTTTTCAGATTGCTACTTACACTTTTCTTTGCTAAATTGTTTGTGGAATTCAGAAAGTTGTTTACAGAATTTACTACCCTTCCTTATGCAGGTGTAATATGGAAGTGTACAGGCCAACTCTTCTAATCTGGCTGTGAGATTCCAGTCCTGCTAAAATCAGTGGGAACCTTGCCTTTGTCAAATGGTGCACATATTCAGGGTTTTCACTTTATCACTTACATTTATAACGTAATAGAGGGGCTTTTCAATGTGTCTGCAGGCATTTTGGCTGAATGTTACTTTAGATGGTTTTGTATTACCCCATTTTCACATCCCTGTTGTCCGTTTATAAACAATGAAGAGAGGTAGGTTCCTCCAAAGGATAATTTAGTACTTAAATTTTAATTCCTGCTCTGAATTACCAACTGGAAAGCTGTATCTTATTTAAAAGAGTTGTTTAACCACCTACATTTGGTATGTAATTGAATGAAATGAATACAGAAAAACACTTCCTTTTCTTTGTATGATTTTAATTTGTTTTTGCCCTGTAGAATCTCCTGGACATTTTTGCTCAAAGATGAAAAACTAAAACTCTGAACAGTCAACCTAACAGAAAGAAAGACAGAATTTCAGAGTTGCAATGAGGAACAGAAATGGCTAATCTTTTTGATTTTGAAATTTCCCCTGCTTATAACATTGATGGATAATTCAGTGATTTCTGACCAAAAGTAACAATTACTGCTTCCTTGAATTGTAGGTTGGTTGTACAAGCTGCTGATAAAGGAAACCCCAGACTCTCTGCTACGAGTATTGTGAGGATAGAAGTGTTAGATGTTAACGACAATGCTCCAGTTGTCCAACTGCTAGGTGAAGTGGAGGTCCCAGAAAGTAAGTGTGATAGTCCAGCTAAGTTTTATTAAGACTGGGAATTGTGAGATAATGGTAGTGCTTTTGATGATTTGTGTAACCAAACGACTGTAGTAAAAAGGGTATGGGATAGTATTAAAACTGAAGTATCAAAATCAATTGTGATTTGCTTTTGTTCTCAGAGGCATTATTCTTAATCTTTAGACATTGTGTTTAGGACTAGATTGGAACAAAACCATAGGCAATTCAGAAAGAGAAAAAAACTCTGCAGAAATACAACTGTAATCTGTTCATTTTGGACTCCAGTATCATATCCTTCTTATGTCTTTAATTTCCACTTTTTTCCAATAAAAATGCTTGGTGTTAAAACCAGCATTGCCAGAAATGAGACATTTTGAATTTCATTGTGATGAAAGAAATAATTTCTGTAAATTTGAATGAAGTGTTAAAATGCTCTATAATTTGATCCAGTTGATGTTCATAAAGAGAAGGACCGAGGACCTCCCGAGTTCTCATCCCAGCATATATCTGGTATGTTGTATGATGTTAGCTCAACATTTGCAGACCTTGAGTCTTAAGCCTTTAACTTTCAAATACAGGCATCATACATGTGAATGCATTAAGATACAAAACAAACAATTTATAAAGACTTAGGTGTTGAAACCCCTTTGAAGAAATCCACCACTATTTCCGTATCATTTCTGGATACTGTGCTTATTGTAAAACACAAAGTTAAAATACATCAAAAGCTATACTGAAAGTTTACATATATCAAAGATTCAACATTACAAAATGGGCAAAATCCTCAGAAATTGTAACATCATCTTTTAGCTGTGAATTATTCTCAAAACTGTTGTTTCAGATGCCCAGCCTGGTTTTATAGTGACTCAGGTGTCAGCAAGTGATGCAGACTCCAGACCAGCACTTCAGTTTGGTTTTATTTATGATAATAGTCCTGGAATGAAATTTGCCATCGATCAACACACTGGTGTAGTCACAGTAGTGGAACCATTAGATTTTGAAGAAACTGCTGAGTATAAGCTGAAAATCATAGTTTCAGATTCTGTGCATCAAACAGAAGCAGAACTCGCCATCCTTGTTTTGGACATCAATGATAACCCACCAGTGTTTACTCAGGATTCATATCAGGTGAGAACATGGCGAATGAACAACTAATGTTTGATATCTTTCTGTATATGATGATAAATAGTAGGAATGCTTGTTTATATTTGTCTTAAAAATGCATTTGAGCACTAAGAAAGATCTCTGCAAACTATTACTGAGCAGAAACAGAGCAGAGCTCTTCTGGGAAACCCCAGCCCCTTCCTAAGAATTCTGCTAAAAGAACTGAGGGAATTGTTCTGTTTTAATGTTTGTGGTTTCTGACTTCAGAAGGCAAGTGGTGTGAATGCTAGCTGTATTCCATACACCGTGGAAGTCATCACTAGGAGTTATGGGAAATTATCCAAAGCAATGGAGAGCAGGGTTCAGTGTTCAGAACTTCCTTCTTCTAAGAGAATGGTAAAAAAGTTGATAGATTTATTCTGGCCCTTTTACTATTGCATGAGTTTCTTCCTTTTCAGTTTACACAGCTCTACAGAGGTGTAGCAAATGCCCCTATGATAGTTCATGCACATATAGTTTGTAATGTGCAACCCTGCCTTACAGTAATGGCACTCATCTAGGGAGTGAGGCGTAGGAGTTTGGACTTCCCCAACTTCCCCTAGTGGACTGAGGAGGGTGCAGAGCTCAGCTTTTGGACTTTTGGAATGTTATGCCGTTGTAGAAGTCAAATTGTTTAACAGTAAAACAAAGCTGTTTTAGTAACTGTGGACAGCTATGGGCTACTGAGATGATTGAAGAAATTGGAGCATGTATAAAATAGATTCACAGATTTCACAGAATATTGAGTTCGAAGGGGAAGACCACAGAGTTCAAGTCTCAGGGAAGTGGCCTGTATGGGGATTGGATACCTGCAACCTTGGTGATATTAGCACTATGTTCTAGCCAACTGAGCTAACCTCAGGATCACTGAGTTATAGAATAGTTTGGGATGGAAGGGACCTTTAAAAATCATCCAGTCCAACTGCCTGACCAATGCAGGGGCAGACCAAAAGCTAAAGCATGTTTTTAAGGGAATTTTCCAAATGCCTCTGAAACACTGACAGGCTTGGGGAATTGACCATCTCTCAAGAAAGCCTGTTCTGGTGTTCGACCACCCTCTTGGTAAAGAAGTGCTTCTGAATGTCCAATCTGAACCTCTCCTGGCACAGCTTTGAGCCATTCCTACGTGTCCTGTCACTGGGTATGAGGGAGAAGAGCTCAGCACCTCCTTCTCCACTTCCTCTCTTCAGGAAACTGCGGAGAGCAATGGGGTCAGCCCTAAGCCTCCTTTTCTCCAAATGAGACAAGCCCATCAGTCTTCATCAGACATGCCTTCCAGCCCTCTCACTAGCTTTGTTGTCCTACTCTGGACACATTTAAGGACCTTCACACCCTTCTTAAATGGTGGGGCTCAGAACTGCCTACAGCACTCAGGGTGAGGCGATACCAAGGCTGAATGCAGTGAGACAGTCACCTCTGTTGACTGTCTGGTGATGCTGTGCCGGATGCAGTCCAGTATAAAGTTTACTGCCTCTGCAACCAGGGCACACTCTTCACTCACACTGAGCCTGCTGCCAACCAGCACCCCAGATCCCTAAAACATTATCAAATGCTTCATGAATTTGCATGTCATCCTTGCACAGAGGTCACGCTAACTTCTCTGTATCACTGCAGTTTTAGTATATGTGCTGCCAAAGGGAGTGTGATATCGCACAAGACCCTCAAGGGCAGGCTGCTAAAAGGGTTTTACCCTGACTTCAACAGCCGTAGGACTGTGGGGCTTGGTCTAAGGCTCAGCACAGGTAACAGCTTGGAGTTAGGGCTTGGGATGGGAGAGAGACAAAGCCTGGAACTTCAGGGCAAGGTCAGCTGCAATAAAACTGAGACAGGAGAAATAGGTTGCCAGAACAGTTGTTTCCTTAGGACTTGTTGGTGTGGGACTAGACCTGTGCTGAGGCCCAAGAGAGCCAAGAGCATGGATAGTTCAGTATGGAGAAGAGAAAGCTCAGTCTTACCAATGTGTGTAAATAACAGTGGGGAGGAGTAAAGGTGGGCAAGCTACCACTCTGTGGTGTCCAGTGACAGGACAAGAAGCAGCAGGTGCTAAACAAAGTACAGGAAATCCTATTTAAACATCAGGAAACACCTTTTTCTTTTTTCTTTTTTTTTTAACCTCTAAGAGTGACTAATTGTTTTCAGAGGTTGCCCAGATTGTTTGTACAATCTCTGTCTCTGGAGATATTCAAAACACATCTGTACATAGTCATGGGCACTCTGCTGTAGGTGACCCTGCTCTGAGCAAGGCTTGCAGAAAATGACCTCTGGAGGTGCCCACCAACCTCAGCCATTCTGCAATCCTGTGAACTGTTTGTTTGATTTGGTGCTTTTTCTGTGTGGTGGACGTCCTCAGAGCCAAAAATATGAGGCACCACAGAAGACTTGGATTGAATAATGGTTCATTTAAAAATCTCAGACAGATTTATTCAAGAAATAAGTCTAAACATTAGGCTTAGTAAAGAATCTTCAATCTATGAGCAAGTGCAGGCGCAGTGGTTTAGTCACTTAGATACCTGTAAAACTTTCAGGTGCCTGAGTTATCAGGATTTGTGTAAAGATCCCACTTGTACTCATAAATCTACATTCTCGAAAAAAATGCACTACTAATGCTCAAGTGATTTTTAGATCCTAGTTTTCTTCAACCCTCCAATGTGTCTGATTTTGGATAATAGTTTAGGCAAATACTTGCTTGTGCAAGTGCTAGGAATTTTTTTGTATATCGGAGCAGACATTATAGGCAGCATTATTAACTGATGCAAAACAGTGTCACTCTATTGACTATGTTAACATAAACAACTGAGCTTCTCTTTTCCACAATCCTGATGTTTGGATGTGTTGCTTGGAGAGCAAGATACACTGCTGTTTTTTGGTCGATGATACTTATAATTCCCTATTCATCATCCTGTATTTTTACCCTTTTATTGTCCTTTCAAGTGTTTTCATATTTATACTCCTCATATATAGTTTAATATATACATATGGTTATTATATACATAAAATCTCTCTGTTTAAATTATTTAAACTAACACTTCAAGTTATGACAGAGGTAGCTGCTATACCGTACTGTTCATTTGAAAGTAGATTTATAAGGTGGAAGGACACTTTGGTCACAAAAGTACTGTATCTGGACTTCAAATAATGAAAGTTGTTAAAAAAGTAATGGACTTTCTTGGTTTCCTAGAGGAAAAAAGGGAGAATTTTGAAATACTAAATTCTAGGAATAATCTAGTGCTCTAGTGCTGGAATTTTCAGGATGAATGGGTTGGTTTTTTTAGTGGTCAGTCATATGCTCCAGACAGAGACTGCAGACTGTATTCCACGTATGGAAATGAAGGTGTCTTTGAAAGCAAGAAGAAAAGCTTTTAGTTGTAGTCCATTATTGTAATCTTGAAAAAAAGTGATTCATTTATTCTCTGAACTCTCTGTCATAATGAGCTAGATGGATTTAACTGCTGTTTAAAGTGTACTGTGAATTTTGGCCGTATTGAAGGCATAGTTTTCAATATCTCAGCTCTTTATAGTTTTGCCCCAGAAGAAAGGTAAGTAAAACCTTTTCCAAAGCTGGGAACTACGCGTGGTTTTTTTCTAATAAGATCAAATAAAGGTAAATGTATTTTTTTTAATGTTTCAAATATTTTATTAAGCTCTATTTTTGCTTTATGTGTCAGGTGAACTTGCCAGAGCTCATTTCTATGGATGCCCCTGTTCTGACACTCTCTGCCATGGATAGAGATTCTGAGCATAATGGAATGATTTCCTACAAAATCCTCTCTTCTTCTGAGGGATTTTCCATTGATCACAAGAATGGTGAGTTTGTAAGCAGGGCTTATTATTTCAGCTTTTTTGTGTAAATTGAAGAGTACTATTGCATCCTCACCTGTTGCCAGTAATTAGTTGAGTTATGGAAATTTTTGGTGGTAAAGTCCACGCATATGTTTTGGCTAAATCTGCCATTATCAGTGAAGAACTGATTGCATCAAAGACTGGAGTTCTCAGTTTGTCCCAGAACCATGCATATTTTTGCTGCTCTAAATGCAGTATGTGTATTTGATACTGTATTGTTGTGGGTAGGCCTTGGCTTCACAGTGTTACCTATGAGTTCTTAGAATCATAGAATAGTTTGGAAGTGATCTTAAAAGGTCATCAAGTGCAACCCCCTGCGATGAGAAGGGACATCTTCAACTAGATCAGGTTGCTCAGAATTGTTTCCAATCTGACCTTGAATTTTTCAAGGGATGGGATATCTACCACCTTCCTGGAGATGTGTTCCAGTGTTTCACCACCCTCATTAAAAAAAAAAAAAAGGTTCCTTATATCTACTCTGACTTTACCCTCTTTTAGTTTAAAACCATTACCCCTTGTCCTTTCACAACAACCCTTACTAAAGAGTCTGTCCCCATCCTTCTTATAAGCCTCCTTTGGGGCCATGGTGAGGTCTCCCTGGACCCTTCTGTGGGCTGAAAAAGCCCAACTATCTGAGCCTTTTATCACAGGAGAGGGGCTCCAGCCCTCTGATCATTTTTATGGACCTCTTCTGGATTTGCTCCAATAAGTCTGTCTTTACTGTGCTGAAAACTCCAGAGCTGGACACAGTGCTCCAGGTAGAGCACTTTGCAAGAGCAAAGTAGAGGGATTGAATCACCTCCCTCAACCTGCTGGCCATACTTTTTTTAAGTATGCCCAGGATGCAGTTGGCCTTCTGAGCTGTGAGCACACATTACAAGTTCATGTCCAGTTTTTCATGCACTGGTACCCCCAGGTCCTTCTTCACAGTGCTGCTCTGAATCCCTTCATCTCCCAGCCTGAATTGGTATCAAAGGTTGCCCCAATTCATGTGCAGGACTTTGCACTGAGCCTTCTGAACTTCATGAGGGCCAACTTCTTGAGCTTGTCCAGGTTCCCTCTGGATAGTATCCCATCCCTCAGGCGTGTCAGCTGCACCACTCAGTTTGGTAACATATGCAGACTTGCCGAGGGTGCACTTGATCCCATTGTCTGTGTCACTGATGACATTATTAAACAGTACTGGTCGCAGCACAGACCCCTGAGGGACATCACTAGTCAGTGATGCCCATCAGTGTCCATCCATGGAGCTGTTTACCCACTATTCTCTGGATGTTGTGTGCAGCCATTACAGTTGAGTCATTTTCAAATATGACTGTTTAGATCAGCTTTTGGAATCATGTTTACTTGCCTGTGGAGTATGGGCTTTTGTTAATTCTTTTGTGTTTTCAGGTTCAGTGTTTGCTACGGGACCAATGACACGGCTGAAAAATAATTCCATTGTTCATCTTCTGATAGAAGCCATGGATGGTGGCAGTCCTACTCTCACTGCAGTTACTTCCATAGAGGTGCACATAGAAGACGTAAATAACCATGCCCCTCAGTTCACAAAGGTTCTGTACAATCTCAGCGTGAGTGAGGATGCCTCAGTCGGAGAAAGCATCCTCATGTTTTCAGCCATCGACTATGACTGGACCCATGACAACACGTATGTTGAGTACTCTATTATTGAGGGCAATGCTGAGAATTTATTCTCCATAGAAACAAGTGTCACAGGGTCAGAAACATCCCACAAACTTGTTGGCAGTCTGGTTTTGAGCAATGTTCTTGACAGGGAAACAGCTTCTTCTCACCGTTTGGTCCTCCTTGCTTCTGACTGTGGAACACCCTCCTTGAATTCAACTGCTACTGTTCTAATAACTGTGCTGGATGTTAATGATAATGCTCCAGTATTTAGCAGCCCGGAGTACCACGTTCATGTCAAAGAAAGCATCCCTATAGGTAGTCATGTCACCGAAGTTTCAGCAAATGACTGTGATGCAGGCACTAACGCCGAGATCACTTATGCTATCATCTCTGGAAATGACAGGGGGCATTTTCGTTTGGATGGGAAAACAGGATCAGTGGATTTGATGAAAACGCTGGATTATGAGGATACCATAAAATTCACTTTGATCATCCAAGCCACAGATGGAGGAACTCATGTAAAAAATATGGCTTTTGCTGTTGTTTTTGTTAGTGTCCTAGATGACAATGATTATGCCCCACTTTTTTTGTTTCCCAGTCTGAGCTGCACTGTCAGTGAAAACATGCCTACCTTTTCTTTTGTGTGTGCTGTTTGTGCACTAGATTTTGATAAAGGCTCCTATGGGCACATTACGTACTCCATTCAGTCTTCATGTTTGGCTCATCGTGAAGCTCCTAGAGACCATGACATGTTCTTCATTGATCCTTTGACAGGAGATATTCATACAAAGCAAATGTTTGACTATGAAAGTCAGAATAGGTACTGCCTCATAGTCCAAGCAAAAGACAAAGGTGACTCGTTGGCTACCATTACAGTTCAGGTAGATATTGAGGGGAGAGATGAATTTGACCCAGTGTTTACACAAGAACATTACTTTTTTAATCTCCCCGAGAAGAACGAAGCAGGCCAGTTACTTGGCAGAGTGACAGCATCTGACAGTGATGGTGGACTGGATGGAGTTGTTCATTACTCTCTTCTAAAACCTTCTTCATTCTTTTCTGTGAATCAAACCAGTGGTAATATTTATTTGACTCAGACTGTTCACAGAAAGAAAAATGGCATCAAAAAGAATGATGATGGTCTGGAATTGTTGGTAAGAGCTCATAGTCCCAGAATT